CCCCCCCCCTTTTTTTTTTTTTTTTTTTTTTTGAAAGGGTGGGTGAGTGCTAAGGAAAAGTATTTTACTGTGCAAAGGATAGGAGCATTTTGCATGCAGTTGAAACAGTAAAGCTCTGATTACAGATGGCAGAAATGAAAGCAGGGAATGAGTAATGAGCAATGAGAAATGCGTAATGCGGGATGAGGATATAATTTCCACACATCGGCTAAAGAAAGGTTTACACTCTTAAGCAATAAAAACAAACCATTAAGCCAGACCTGCACTGTCAGGAAGTATAAAACAGTTCTTGAAACTCTGCAGTTACTATACAAAAGCTTTTCATAAACTTTTGTTTCCTGATCTTCATAAAACATTAACATCAAGCTGCCATATGGCAATTAGCTGCCTCCTGAAATCAATAAAAAACCCCCAAATCAACAATTTAGGAATAGCTGTACAATAAAATAGTTCAATAATTATCCTCTTCTAATAGTGTAGCAAATAGGGTCTAATTTAAATGCAGTCCAGATGAGCTCCTTCTTCAAAGCTGAGAGTACAATAAATCATGTTCCTCTCCAAGCCTCATCAGTACCGATTGCACAAGTGAGACCTCTAACTGCCTACCGGGGGGAAGCAGGTGACAGTCTGTGGACACCCAAACCCAATTACCCTGAGCAGAAAAGGTCTCAATGTCTGATTATGATGAGCCTAGCTTAGCGCAGCCAGCAGATCCTGCTGGGTGAAAACGGCCAATGCTCTCGGGAGAGCTTACCTCCACTGAAGATCTTTCCACGTCATTTTTACATGTTGCTGACCACAGAAGTCCAACTGAATTTTGCGCAAAAATTATCAAGCCACTCGACAAAGCTGTTACTGAGTCTCAAAAGGACAAGGAGAGATGCTGATCACATTTGTGTTTAGAGAGATGCTTATCTGAAATGCACAAAGGGTGACATTATCTATCACAATCTCTGCCTATATAGATTATATAAGTGCCTAGAAGCAATATGTTTAGGGGAAACAAGCTATGGGGCAACAAAGGCAGTTTTGCCTTTCAGATCTTCTGCTTTTTCTCCTCTTAAGAGGAAAAAAAGCAAAAAAGCTCATTTCTTCTTGTAGAGTGGTATAACACTAGTAAGTACTAAAGAACTAAAGTAAGTACCGGAGTACTGAGGTGACAGCATATCTTTACTACTCAGGATTATTCAGCAGTCATTACCAGACTTACATGATGTCAGAAAGCCCAAACCTTTCAGAAGGACTGTCTGATCACAAACCCTATTTAGCAAAGTTCAGGAACCCAATGGGTCTCTAGGAGACTTTTCTACTACTCGTGTATGAAAGTTTGTTTCTTTTATGTTGAATCCTAAATGAACGCTTCTGTGCAGCACCTATCTCCAATCTAGAGAGAGGTTAAGCGTTAAGGATTTAAACATACATTACGAAACTAATTCTGCAGAAGTTTACTGAGGTGCTGAGCTTGACACACGTATATTTCCTTCTCGAAATCAGTATGAAACTGATGATTTTGTGACTAACACTAAGCTGGTATAGAAATGCTTACAAGAGTGGGTCCTAATAGGTTTACAATTATACATCGGTCTCACTGTGTACTTTACTAAGGATGCAATTCTTTGTCAGGCAAAAGGAGGTTTGTCTTTACAAGGAATGCGGCATCACGCCATGAGCCAGCTACTGCTCATGCACAGACACAAGCTGTAGCCAATTTTTTTGAAACAAGATTAGCATCAACGTGTTCTCATACCTTAGAAAAGAAGTAAAGCAGTCACCACTCCGTAAAAAGCCTCCCTCAATCTAGTTACACATGAAGGGCTAGGAGCCGTGAAACTTAAGCCTTGCAACACTGGAGCTTAGGATCTGATTAGAAGTGCCATGGGGTCTTTCCTGATTTCAGCAGGTTTGGGATCATACTTTCCTGCTCATAGAAGCGGAGCAATCTTCAACTTTTCAGCACTTTATGTCCAGCTTTTGCAAGCTCAGACTATAGAGTTTGCTAGCGCTGTTGTGACTTGACTAGCACAATCATGTGTTGCAAACAGTGAATGAACTCTTGAAGAACCTTCACTGTGGCACATCCTGTGACCGACAACCTTCCCAAAGCAACAGGCATAAACTCACTGGTAAGGCCGGCAACAAGCCAAAGGCAAACTAAACTTCTGTCCATATGATGCTCCCCACTAAAAACGTTAGGCAACGCAACAGCACTGGTCTTTTGAAAAAAGCAGATAAAAGTTGCCCACCCAGCAGACTCATAGGCCACTATGCAGTATCAGCATGACCAATACCATCAGCTACCTCTTAGAAATAAGCAGAGCCAAACTGCAGAGCTGTGGATTGTTCTCTAACAGCTATTAAAAATACTGCTGGTACGAAGAAATACATGTTTTTATCTCACCACAGAAACTTACAGCTAGCCTAAGATATCTTTAAGATCACAAAAGAAAAGTATAAGCAGCCAACAGGAAATTAGTTTTCCTCTCTTATGCTCTGTACCCATTGCTTTTTGTGATGATTAGCAGTAGAGAACTGCTCTGTGAGAAGAACTGTAAGACATCATCAACTTAACCTTTCTGATCAACAAACCTATTTCATACTTTTGCTGTAACCTAAATGATTCTGGTAAAAAAGAAGGAGTCTGGAGAGGGTGATCAGAAAGAGGTTTCTGTCAATAAAAAGTTAGGCTAGTAGGAGGCCCAAATCAGAGATTCCCAGAGTTGATTTGGAGAGGTCGGCTTGAGGAAATGCTGCCTCAGTTCATCAAACCCACAACAGAGCGCAAAGGTGTTCTGACATCTCTGGAGGTATCAGCAGAGAGTCATTCTACAGCCACTGAAACCAGTGGGGAGCTCCTGAAAGAGACAGGAACTTCCCACTAGCAGTCTAACGCAATGTCATTCTGTTGTTGGCTTCAGTGCACTTTGCAGGGGATCACCGAGAAGCCAATTAACGATACTTTCCCACTCCACTATTTCAGCAGAACTTCACACAAGCAACCCAGGCCCTGCATGCTCGCCCCAGGTTCTACAGGTAGTAGCCTGGCTGCCACACCAGTCTTTTAACATACAACAGGCACAGTAAGTATTAGCTTGAAAGTTATACTTCCCAACTGCTTTTACCCCTTACATGAAGGATTTTAAAAGCAAGAAGATGTAAGCCCAAGTTATCCTTGTGATGACTGCACGAGTGAACTCTTTCTTGTTACAGACTGGACTTTTCAGAAAGAAATATCAGAGTTCTAGAATTTATTATCTGAAATAGATTTAAACATTTGGGAGATGGGTGGGGAAAGCTTTCAAACACAGAACCCTGGAAAGGAAGACAAGCTAATCTGCAAAACAGCAAAACCATCAGCTGAGGTTAGATAGGAGGCTGCATATGACAACAGCTTGCTGTACGTAAGGCAAAAACTGAAGATTAATTTCACTACAACACTCCACAGAAGGGAGCTCTCATTGAGGTGAGGACGAATGGAAGGCTTTTCCAACTGTTAAAGACAAGGGCTGGTACAAATAAGATAAATATTCCTCTTTAGCATACATATAATCACAAAAAAAAAAAAAAAAAAAAAGGATAACATTTTAGTTTTTATTATTTTATATTTGGCCAGGACTTTTAAAGGAAGGACTTTTAAAGGAAACATCAAACATTCACTTTTCTGTAGGTCTAGAAAGGATTCAGTCTTCCCCCACCCCCACCTCCCGTAGGACTTCTATTGGCCTTTCTTATATTCGCACTGCAAATTAGTTGGGAATAGCAGTATTTATACTAGATCAGCAATGTCTGGTTCTTATCCAAATGTTCCACCTAAAGAGGATGCCAGTTCTCATGGATTGGACAGCCCACCCTGCAGCATTCCTGAGAATTGTACAATATAATAATCTTGAAAGTCAGCAGAGTGGATTATCCACTTTTTTCTGGACTTGAACTTGTGACCTTAACAGTAGCACAGCAGAAAGCAAATGTGCTATGCACTTTGCCATAGTAACCTTCCATGTATTCTTTTCAACTTAAATACACACAATTGAAACAGCTACAATTTTGGAAAATTATGTACAAACCCTATATTTTTTTCTTTTTGATTACATATAAATACAAATTAGCTATTCTTCTAAAAAGTGGTTATAATAGTAAATAAATACAAAATAAGAATCTGACCATTATACTTCATGTGCTGGGGTTAAACCCATATAAAATGTACAACTAAAATACATTTAAAATCTTTAAAGGAATATTTCTCTGATTAAAATATTTGTTTTCCCAACTTTTTCGTAGACATAAATATATTTTCAAAATAGTTGTGTTTTTTTTTCTTTCCATTTCATTACATAAATAAAGTCTTCATTGGGAAATATTAAAGTGTCAGCTTTTTTTTTTTTTTTTTTTTGTCTAATATATTTGCTGTGTTAGCGGCACCCACAACCCTCCACAACCATATCTTGATAGTTCTTTAATACAACTTTTTCATTCTCATCAAGGTAGAGCATGGAAATAGCACTCAGTTCTGTCGGCACACAGCAAGCCTTGGGGATTTTGGAATTCACTGAATTGACCAAAGTCTGAACAATGGCATGGTTTGTTGAGTTTAGATGATCTGCCAGTGGAAAAGGACATTCCCCATGGCAGTAAAAGGCACTATACCCCGGTGGGGCAACAATCCAGTCATTCCACCCCACATCATTGAAGTCCACATATAACGGATGCCTTTTGCAACTGTATTTGTGGCGTTTACGCTGTTTGTGTTTTGCTTGACGCTTTTCTCTTTTATGAAGCGGGTGTCCCTTGCCATCATGCCCAAACGTTACTAATAATGGCCTGAGCTGAGACCAGCTATCTTCATCCTGATGTAAAGACCTGCTAATCCTAACGTGCCTCTTGGAGGCACTGTTTTCTTTGTCCAAGTGAACCACCTCTACCACAAACCCATGATTAGGTTGTCCATGTGCAATCCACCTCAAAACAGCTGGCGTTACATCAAAACTTTCCCATTTACTTGCATTATGATGCACCAACCTGGTGTCCAAAAGTCTTGTGACAGGGTCCTTAGAGGTGGCTGTGGCTGGCTTTATAATTTCATAAATATTAATACGGTGATGGTAGCTGCTGTTGTTCTCAAAGGCTCCGTGCACCTGTTTCCGAAATATCTGGAGTTCAGCTGAGGTGATAGACTCCTCATTAGGGATGGAAGTTAAATTAAAGAAGAAACGCCGTGTTGTTTTCCCACTTGTTTCTGGCAGTTCTTCCAAAACTTCTAATTTGATTAAACAGGGAAAATAAAATAAAAAAGGAAAAGAAAGAAAAAAAATCAGGATCTGAGACAAGCAACCTAACCCCCGAGATAGTCTGCTGTTGGCAATTTTCAAATGACAGCTAACGCATGTGACATAAAAGATCTGAAAGACTTTCAGGCAGAAAATACTGCCTTCCTTGTCTTTCTGTTTATTTATGCAAGCATTTCTAGCATGAAGTTAAGGTTTCATTCATTGTTATGCATTTTCATTGAATATTGGTGCCCTTTGCATTCCAGGTGGTTATAATAAGTGGCAAGAAACACGCAGCATTACTTTGGAATTCAAGGACATTAGTGAGAAAACTCAAGCGCTATAGTTAGTGGGGGTCTGATGAGAATCATTAAAACTGATTGAGGACTTAGGGTAACTATTGCATTTCTGGTTTTTTCAAGAATATAGCTCTAATGTCAATCCCTTAAACTCCTTTCTGAAAAACATTACTCCACAATTTAGGCGACTTACAAATCTTAACATATGGATTAGAGATGGTGAACTCAACATCTGTAACGGCACTGTACAAAGCACACCCTAGTATTTACCCAAAAGGGCCATAAGGAATGGCAGGAAGGTTCAGCTGCCAAAAACAGATAGATAGTAAAGGGATAACGAAACAAAGTCACTTCTGAAAAAAAAATAAAAAATAAATCATTTAAGAAAGTCACTAAACCCCAGGCCATTCTCACCTTTGAGTCAACAAATAATTGACTGGAACTTCAGAGGGAGTAAAATATATCTAGGGCTGCTAAGAAGAACGTTGAAGAAATTAAAAGTATTTACAAATGCAAGTCTCTCTAATCGCGGTTTTTAATTTTGGGACTAAGCATCCTGGTAAAATATTCCTTTTCTAAGGGGAAGCCGTAACTGCTGTTAGCAGTTCTCAGTCATGTAACCGTTCCTGGTTGAATCCAGGAAAACTTTTTGCATAAGGTAAGGCTCAGCTTTATGATATTTCAGGACCAGACCAATATTTGTAAATCTGCAGATGTTTTGAGTGGTCACAAGACAAACTTCTGCTTTGAAGAAGCCACCAACAGAGTGAGAACTCCGTGAAGAAATGGCGTCACATGGACCTGCTTCTAAATTTTGTGAAAATTGTAGAATAGCAACCTGGTCTAGTGGGAGGTGTCCCTGCCCATAGCAGGGGGGTTGGAACTAGATGATCTTTAAGGTCCCTTCCAACCCAAACCATTCTATGATTCTATTCTATGCCAAAACCAGTCTTTGCTATAAAGTACGACTACTTCAAACCACAGATTTTTACATTTGCCTAAAAATGACAAACTTTGCCCTTTCAGCTCCTCTCTTGCTCAGCCCCCTTGCCTACCACGCTCAGATTTAACGTGAATGACCCAAGCGCTGGCTTCTCCCCATTCACTGCTACATGTTTACATTCCACGTAGGGAAACAGACAATGAGAGGTTACATTTCATCATTGATCTCCTTTCTCACAATAAGGCTTTCCACTAAACAGCAAACCCACTTCTGCGAGGCCACCTCCTTTACCCATCAGAAACATTAAATATTAATGAATTTCTCTTCTCAACACAGTTGCACACTAGAAGCATGGGAAAACTGCATTTTCATTACTTTTACAGTGGGGCCACTGCACGCCAGCACCGGCGACTAGCAGCCAGGAATGATTACAACCTAGGGAAATGTTTCCCAAAGAGCACGCGAGTGACACGTGCGCCACCGGCTCCACGGGCCTACCCATGCCACGGCCAACGCCGCAGCCACTGCGTTGGCTACAGAAAGCCGGGAAACGCACCCAGTCGCTCAGCGAGGGCCTGTCCCAGAGGATCCACTGCCTCGGTGGGCTGGAGGTGCTGCTGGATGCCTCGCTCTGCATTTGGCCAGGTTACCTGCAGGTGAGAGGTGAGACCTGGCCACGGGGCTTTTACCAGCCTGGGCGCTGGTGGCTGGGGAGACACAGCCTGGGTCCCGGCTAAATCGCTCCTTGACAGCGGGGCGAGGCGGCGCTTGAGGAGAGGCCACCATCGATTGTTTCATCGATCTCTCACGGGGATTAGATACGGATTAGAAACCTCCACAGCGGCCCCGGCGCAGCCGCGCATTAGGGAGACTTTCCTGCTCTTGAGCCTCGCAAAAGAAAAGCTATCTGTGGGAACGCTTACCGCGGAGCAGCGCTGTTTTAGTGGAAGAAGGAAATAAAACGTGAGCCTCTCGTCGGACAGAAGGGGGAAGAGGAGGAGGAGAAGAAGAGAAGTTGGCAGAGCAAGCGCCCCACAGCAGAAACCCCGGAGCCGGGGCTCTGGAAGCACCCCCGCCGCCACATCGAACATGCCCCGCGTTACCGGCGACCGGGGAGGAATCCGCCCCGACGCTCCTCCTCCGGCCCTCCCCTTTCCCCTCCGCTCCTTCAGCCCGTCCAGCGGCCGCGGGCGACCCCACGACGCCGGGCGCGCCCGCGAACGGTGTCCGTGTCCCGGCCCCCCCAACCCCCGGGTCCCCGCCGCCCCTACCTTCGTGGTGGAAGCTGCGGACGGTGTTGGCGCGGCTGGCGGCCCTCTCCAGCGGGTAGCCCAGGGCCGGCGGCTGCCCCAGCTGCTGGCCCGCGTGCAGGCGGTAGAGGTCCAGCATGTAGGGGGGGATGACGACGTCCTTGCCGGGGCTGGGCCGCCGCTTCAACCCGAACATGTGGAGCAGGCGCAGCTCGAACTCGCTGAGGAGGTCCTCGGGGCGC